AATAAATATTGCAAAATGTAATTCTGTAGGAAGACAGAAGACGCTGACTGACTTAAGAGTCCAAATACAAATAATACATAAATTGTAAACTGACCCAAAACAGCACCAGTTTTTTTCTTTGACCAATGTTGCTGGACACTGACTCACCCAAAGCACATATATCACAACAATCAAACATCACTCACCAGCTCTGCCAACTTTGCCTCAAGTCCTATGATTTTTTTCTGGATTTATCATCAATACCAGCATTTGCCACATAAAGAACCTAATTATGATTAACAGTAACAAACACTATTGTTTGAACTATTTACTACTTCCAAATGATGTAACTTTTTCATTATGATGATAATCACACATACTGCATTGGTAGAGGTGAAGAGGAAAAGCTCTAAGTGTTTGATGCAAACAGCAGAAATAAATAGTTTTTAGGCATTTGTCTTCAGTGTGAAAGATATTTTGTAATTGTACTTTATATCTGCCAAGAAGGTACTGAATATCCATTGTACTGTTAAACTTCTCAAATCTAAAATAACCAACATTCTTTTGATAATAAACACTATCTCTTAAAGTATATATGCACATATCTAAAGATATCTTCCATTACTAGGTTATACAAATGTAAAATGTAAAATGTTTATTTTCATTCTATAAAAACAGTAAGATAAAGACAAGGCTCCAAAGAATTACCTAATGAGTTCTGCACTCCCCTTTTTAACATGTATTTTTGAACATTTGTTCCTCATGTTCTAGTTCTTACTGCTTCTGAAATACAGGGAGCTTTCAGATACAAGCCACTTGTGATACATAGGGGGGAAGGTGATTTGCCTCTCAAAAAAATCCACTAATTGCCTTCAACTTTTTTCATCCTGTCCAATTCATGGTTTGCTATATGAAAATTACACATAGTTATGTGTAATAACTAATTAGAAAGAAACATAATATATAGACAGGTTCTATAGGAAAAAGTTTGGGTTTAGGACATAGGAAACTAGACATTTTCCAGATTTTTTTTTTTATTACACTGCCTAATCCTCAGCCATTTGGCCCACCAAATGGAATTAATGGGAACTGTCTACCCCTAGAGAATAATGTGGTTTCTTTCAGCTGTTGCAGTCAGGCATTGGTCTCGTTTTCAAAAGACCTTCAAATAGATACTAGGAATAATCCATACATCCAGTAGGAACCCAATTTCTCCCCACGTTCCATGTATGGAGATTAGGAAAAATAATCTAATCTAGAAATTATCTTAATTTTGATGAGATTAAAATTTGAAATGACCATTAGCATATTATATTTTCTTACCTCAAAATCAATGAGTTGTAGATCAGCTACTAGGGTACTAAGAAGACCACTGTTGTATAGTTCTTGAGCAAGCTGGGCTACAGCTTCTGTCTGAGGTTCCTTTTCATTGGTGCCATATAAGATTTCTTTCATGGCAACTAGGTTTTTTGAAACTTCTTCGGTAGCCTGCACAAGGAAAAAACCCTAGTTATTTCTAAAGCTGAAAACGTTTTGTTTACTAATTTTACTAGTTTTTTTGTTTTGTTTTTGGTTTATTTATCTTAACACATTTTACAGAAGGTACAAAGAAAACACGAAACCATGTGAAAAAAACAAAAACAAAAAATAGCAACCAACTTAACAGAAATCCAACAAAAGGGGAAATCTTTCTATTCATCAAATGGCAAGCCAGCTTCTCATTCTACAGTAAAAAGATGGTTCTCTTAATATTACAAAATGTCACAAAAATCAATGCCAATAAGAACATATTTAGTCATTAAATATTAGTATGATTAGTAGATAAAATTGCCTTTCCAAAAGCAGTTAAGTTACATACCTCTTGAATCCAATCCTTAATATCAGGAATACTACTTTTCCAATTTCTCAAAATAGTTCTCTTAGCAACACCCCAAGCCAAATATACCCATAACACATCAAAAATAATCAGATTTCAAAGTTATGGGACATAATTTACCATAACAGTAACGTCTTTACCACTGTAAAAACATCTCCCAGATATTAACCTGAACAATTCAGGAATTGCAACTATCTCACACAGGCCATCCTACTTTTACCTAAGAATCCATAAAATATTCCCAATGACAAAGAATTAAATTGCTTCTTTTTTATTATGAAGCTTCTTATTTATGAGCCTGTAAAAGACTCCTCTGAACAAGTAGAATACTGCTATTTTAAAATATACACATCTTCACAATTACGCACAGCATTCTTGCTTGCTATTTTTTCTGGTTGTCATAGTCTGTAACAAGACAGGTTCCTTAAGTTTTTCCGTATACTTAAATACATTTGGTTTTTGACACATTGTTGTGTATATGTCACAAAATGGTTGCCTTGGAAAAGCCTGCATATTCCCAGCTGGGTATATCCAGACACAAAACTCTGTATCCCAGGGAAAAGGAAGAGGAAGAGCAAGCAAGCAAGCAGAGAGACTGGCAGGACCAATGGGCATTATGTTTGAAGGATGTAAAAAAGCCCATTATCATCTAAACATAATCTCCTGGAAGGATAAAAAATGTCAGACAGAAAGAGGGGACAGACTGCTAATTAAACTCATACACTTGACTATTTATAGCATCAGGAGCAATTATATATACCACAAACACACTGCCCATTTAAAAATAAATGCTGAGGTTAACCAAAAAGATAGAAATAGATCAACATATATTCAGAAGCAGACCAAGAGTCACCCTAATACACCAGCCACGCTTGTATGCAACTTTTTAGAATTCTGCTCCCCAATCCCAAGAAAAGACTTCTCCTTCAAGGGGTATAACTTAAACCAAAAACAAAAAGACCTTGTCTTTTGCTTATTATGTTCAAATCAGGATACCTGGTTTGTCTCTTAATAATAAAACAAACTAGTTTGTTCTTGGCTTCTGTTCAAAAAAGTTCCAAAAACTGTATAAGAAATTACCCTGCATAAAAATTGTACACACGCATCTTATGTTTACACTTTTAACTATGAATTACCCAGAGAAAGTCAGAAGAGTACAAATACTGATATATGACTGCAGTCTGAGTCATAAATTATTTGCAAAAAGTTAAAATGACCTCTTTGGTTATTTCCCCTGCTTCATATACTGTATGCAGGAAAATTAAGCCTAATCATTGAAATTGTTTTCCCAGCCCAACAAGCTTTGCATGCAATCCATGCTTTATTTATTAGATTTTATACTGCCCCAATCATGTGACTCTCAGCAGTGTACATATAAAACAAATATAATAAAGTGCATATAAAATTAAAAATTAAAAAAATTAAAAATTAAAATTAAAAACAAAAAATAAAGTGGAAGATATGATTATATAATTTGAATTTTTATTTCTGAAAACAATTCTTTACCTTCACTAGATACTTGAGAAAAGCTAAAATATATAGGTGATATTAGCTATCTTCTGAAATATTCTTTTTTAAAGAATCCATTTGCTTTTATGAGCTTAAATGGTCATACCTGAACACATACTTTTCTTAATGGGAAGATGAGAATTTAGATTTTCTCTGTTTCCCAAAAGTGGATCAGAAAATAGAGGAAACTTCTATGGTCCTCAGATGAAAGTGAAGCTCCTCAGTTCACTAAGAAATACAATTCTTCGTTAACGAGAGAGCAGAAAGACCACTTCCTTCTGCTAATCAACCACTCCTCTTTCTAACAGTAAAAGAGGATATAGTGGAAACATTATTTTAAGCAAGAGCCACATGTGAAGGTTCTATTGCAATTTCAATATTGCATTACGACAACCAAATCTTCCCTCATCATCACAACTCTTAGGCATTTAGTCCAGGGCAATGTTTGTGATCATAAAGTTACCATCTCAGCTGAGAAGCTGATCAGGCAGACAGGAATTCTGGTATCAGAGCAAACAGGCTGACAATAAAACAGAGGAAATTGCAAGGCATGTTTGAAAATATGCAGTATTTAACAAACCTGATGCGGAAGGAGTATTGGAGAGGATATAAAATTAATGTTTTGGTATTTCATAATGTTTCAACACATCCTTTGGCATAATATGAAAAAGCTTTAAAAGGCTACAGCCTACACTAGGTTAAAGGGAATACAGAGCATTTAAAGTAACAATCTAATTTGCAATACAATCTGAGTTTTAAATATTTTAAAATGAGGACACAAAATGGTTTCCCACAAATTACATTTAGCTGCCAACTGTGCAGGCATGATTTCCTCATTCTACTTTAGCTCTGAATTACAATCTCTACATCTAATCTCAATCTTCCAGGGACCTAACTTTTACTAATTTGAAAATCTTCAACAATTTGAAGTTTACACAAAAATATCTCACAAATATCTTAACCTCACTATTCTGAGAAAATGTATTTATTTAAAACAGGTGGCACTACATATCCCTAAGGAAACCTACAGCTTGTTTCAAATTTAAGTTAGTTGTCCTTAATTATTACTGGGTCTATTAAAATATATTGAGTTACTGGGTTTTAATAGAAATTATATACATTGTAATTGAAAGTATGTTTGTCAGTTTAGAAGAGGGGGAAAAAAACGATGTTGAAAGCAACTGGTAACCAGTGCAGTTCACAGACCACAGGTGTTGCATAGGCCTGCTGTACCCTGCCCATCACTGCTTGTGCTACTGTATTCTGGACCAGTTGATTTTTGCTCTTATGAGGTATAGGTTGATAGTGAAAAATTTAGTCTTGTATGCACATTGCAGTTTAAATATGAAAATACAGGATTGTATGTACTAGCTATTAAATTAAGCTGGGCCATATTTAAATTCTTTCTCTAGTAGGTTATAAAGAATAGTTCAAATGACAAGACAGCAAAATGCTTTAAGTCTTTGATTACTCTTCTTAAGCTGTGCTTTTCAAAAATGATTTTTCAGCTATCTTACATACTTCATCATAAATGTTTACATTTGCTTTGATTTATGGGATCATAAGGAATAATGTGTTAACTTGATTTCATCCCATTTCTGCCCCCCCCCAAAATGACAAGCCAGAGATGTTTTGAAAACATATGGCAAAACCTGTAAAAGGATCAAAAGAAAACAGCAAAGAACACCACTTCACTGTTTTTTACATTTGCTTTCTTAATTCTTATTTTATGATTCTGCAAGAACCATCTCAGCAGAGTGGGTAATCATTCTGAACACAAATGGAACTTGTTTGAAGCATACCATCAAGACTAAAATTAGATGCAAATTAAGCAACACACTCTGGTTTTCAGCAGTGAGTTTGGAGGTCTTGCTAAAATTAGAAGTTATAAACTTTACAAAAATCTTCTAATTCTCCTGATAAATGCCATTTTATTTTTATATTTTTAATGAATTATGTGTAAGGAGAAGAGGATTAAATGTGTTGCCTGATTTTTATGAAATTATGTCCCCTTGTTTATTTTTTACAGTATCTACTTTAAATTTTTACAAAATACCTCTCCACTGAGGATGTCAACAAGTATGTAGACAAGGGTAGTACAGTAGTACAGTAGCTTCTATATACCTGAATGTTCAAAAATATTTGATAAAGTCCTTACCAAACGTTCATGCGTAACGGAAGCTGCCATGGGGTAAGAAAAGAAATTCTCTCAAGGATTAGTTAAAACAACAAACTATGAGTATTAGAGACCAAGCTATTTAGGAGACCTATAACTCCATTCATTTGGCCAATATGTGACAAAGAATGATAGACTAGGAGCACCTAGGGTTTGATCAAACAGGGGTCTTTTTAGTTTCTACACTGGATATATCTTCCTCCCTCCATATCATCTATTCTATACCTATCCAAACTGTCTTTATTTCTGCTCTTGTAATCATACATTTTCCTGACCACAGATTCTTTTCTATGACTTAAACAACAGTACTCTATTATTAGGGACAAAGCTATTTAGGAGAGCTGTAACTCCATTCTCCCCTAACACTGATCCCAGTTATCTTTTTCTTTGAGAAACAGTGATTTACACTATTTATAGGCCTATTATCAATAAGACTTTAAAACTGATAGCACCTTTGATCCTATTCCTAGCTGGTAAAAGCTTAATTCAGGCATTAAACTTGGAAATATCTGGATGTTGAGTCATGGCAACTGGACTTCTTTTCTTTTGGTTTAATACCAAGCAGCTTCTTCAGTCTTGGAGAAGCAGCGAAACGTATCAAACCAAAAAGAAAAGCAGTCTAGTTGCCATGACTCGACCTCCAGATAATTCCACCTGGACGACTGAGAATCTTCATCAACATAAACTTGGAAATATTTCTGACATACACTGTTCAGTTGTTTCAAAACTATTTGTAATTTTTCCAATGGGCATACAATGGCATCAGGATCCAGTGTGTAACAGCAGTTATGGTATTACAAAATTTAAAGCTAACTGAACATTTGGTAAGTTAGTATTTGGTCCCCTAACAATAATGTAACTAAAATCCTCTTCCATAACAGTGAGAATGTACAGCTTTGTCAGTGAGACTATACAGAGAAGAGAATCTGCACATTTGCAAGTAGGTTACAAAACTTTGTTTCAAAATAATCTTTTTAGCTGTTCTACACCCTGTTTTATCACTTTAGAATTTCAACAATTCAGCATTCAACACAAGATATTAATTTCAGACTAAAGCTAAAGAATACTTAAAGAAAATGTCTCAATGTTCAAAATCCAAATAGTGTAACTAGATCCTCATCAAAACTAAGAATGGACTTGTTAATCTCCTATACTGATAAGCAATTTAATTGTTAGACTAATGAACAGTGGGGTATCAAATAGAGGAGAATCAGGTGACAGTGAAAATGGAGACGGGAAAGTAAGGAAAGTTTTTGTTGAAAGTAAATTTTGATGTGATGTTTGAAGCATAAAGTTTGACTATCTGGGAACAGAGAAAAGTTTCAGAGAGAAAATATAAATGTTATTAAAATAGTGCTGATAACAAATTAGCAAGGGTTGGAAATAGCTTTAGCAGCAGTACATTTCCCATGTAATGTCCAGAAAAGCTGTTACAAAGATTATAATCATTATTTGCCAAAAATAAAATAGCAGACACTGCTGCTGAGGATTAGCAAAAATGCTTAAGAAAATTAGGACCTGTTCTGTCATTTATATGACAGCATTAAACAGTCCCTCCAGGACAGATCCACAAAGAAGGAAATACAAACTTTACCTTTTCTACCTTCTTGTCAGAAATATCTTGTTTTTCTAGAACTGCCATGCTTTCCTTCAAATTCTTCACTATGTCTGCAGGAGACTTGTGTGATTTGCCAAAGGGAAATGGCATGCTTGCAAACTACAAGTGTCTTTTCTTCTAGAATTCCTCTTTTACCTGCAAATTAAAGGTGGGGGGAGTTAAGAGCAGTAAAAGAAAGCATATAACCACTGGATACAAAGAAGTAGACATCGTAACATTTGTTTGTTAGAATCAAGCCTGAGATTGTCCAGTGTCAAATTAAAGCAGAACACTGAAGTAAATACATGGAGTATATTAGTATAAGTTCAGTTCTACGGAGGTTAGCATTCTACATAAAAGTTACGATTTTACACTGAGCCTGTCCAGCAGGTTTCTTCAAATTAATATCTTACAGTTTCAAAACAGGTTCTGAATTTTATTAATGCAGATCAAATGCTTTAAAATACAGATCAGAAGGCATTTTAAGCATGCAAAATATTATGTGTACAGCAAACTTCTACACAATGTGCAGTTTGCTTATTCAATTGTATAAAAGATAAAGGTGGTAGCTCCTGTATCTGTATCTGCATCTGCGTTAGAAACTAAGCAGGATCAAGCTTCATTAGTAGTTGGGTAAGAGAGCTGCAGAGAATACCATGTCTGGCAGCTTGAGTGGGAAGTCAAAAAAGACATCCTGGAAGAAGGCAATGGAAAGTCACTTCTATACTGTTGCCAAAAAAATACATTATCTATAAGGTTATCGGCACAGGAATCAAGCTCAACCTGAATTTATTTAATTAGTTTTTCAGCATCCAAGTAGGTGAAAGTGCGATTTAATAAATAATCCCCTAAGTTACTTAATGACTGGGCTTCTAGAGCATTCTATTAGATATAAAGGAACTAAAAAACTTTCTCTTCAAAAAAGCTAAGGGGCTGTTACTCCTGCAGCAAACAAAAAATAAGTGAAGCTAAGGGAACATTATTACAAAGAATGGCTGCCCCATGAAATGTAGTCTGGAAGCAAAATGTTATTGCCTAGTTTACATACATATATACATATTTACACACACACACACAAATGGAACAAAAGCTCCATGGGATTTTACGCAGATTTTCCAACTAGTTAGAGATGAATTCTACAAGGTCTGCAGACAAAGGATATACTCTAGCACTAAATGGCACCTTGAATACTAACAAAGTTTTAACTAACAAAGTTTAGAGTTGTTTTTGTACAGGTTTACAAAATACCTTGATTCATCCTTGCAGTAATCCCTAGTAACCTAGTTCCTATTGTTGATAGCAACTTTCTCAGACAGACCCCCTTCTAGTTGTGTTAGGACTGCAACTCTTCAGAAATCTCAAACATCATGGCTAATGCTGGCTGGAAGCTTTTAGAGGTGGAATTCAAGCATTCCCAGAGGCATTAGGTTTGGTGGGCTGCTTCTACAGGTAGTGCTCACTTAACGACCATTCAGTGACTGAAATTACAATGGTGCTGAAAAAATGGACTTATGACCCGTGCCCAAAGATACGGCCGCTGCAGCACCCCTGCGGTCACATGATTAAAATTTGGGCACTTGGCAACCCACCCGCACTCATGACTGCAGGGGCACTGCAAATCCCTCCACCCGCCTATTTCCCTCCATCTATGCCCTTTTGACCACCCTGCACAGTGGCACTTGTTGGCGGCAGCACCAGGACTGGGGCTGAACTAAAAACCCAAGACCTTCAGCAGTTTCAGCCAGCTGCCACCGCCCCCAGGCCTCCACTTCAGCCTCAGTGCAGCTGCTGCCACTGAGAAATGCCACCTCAAGCTCCATACCGCTGGCCTTCACCACCTCGCAGCATTCCCATTCCTTCCCCAAGCCACACCTCTCGTTCCTTCCCTAAAGCCATCATCCCGTTGTCCCATGGCTTCCCCAAGCCATACATCTCATACCTTATGCAAGCCGGTGTCCCATTCCTTCCCCAAGCTGTACCCGTTCTTTCCCTAAAGCCAGCTTCCCATTCTCGTGAGACCTGGGGAAAACCAGGAGGTTCTGAAGGATCGCAAGAACGGGATGCCGGCTTGCAGAAGGTATGGGACACATGGCTTGGGGAAGGAATGGGATGACAGGACAACAGCTTTAGGGAAGAAATGAGAGGCATGGCTTGGGGAAGGAATGGGACACTGGCTTCAGGAAGATATGGGATACGTAGCTTGGGGAACAGTGCGAGATGGCGGAGGCCAGTGGTGTGGGGCTTGAAGCAGCATTTCTCAGTGGCAGCGGGAGCGCTGGGGCTGAAATTGAGGTCTAGGGCAGTGGCAGCTGGCTGAGCCTGCTGAAGGCCTCAGGCCTCTACTTCAGCTTCAGCCTTGCCAACAACAAGTGTCACTATGCAGGGCGGCCAAAAGGACATAGATGGGGGGAAGATAGGCAGGTGGGGGGAGCTGCAGTGCTCCTGTAGTTGTAAGCACTGCAGCACCCCCCCAATCATGTGTGGCCTGCATCAGACCTCCCAGGGCCTCCCCCACCCTCCTGAAGCACCCCTGCACTCCTTACCTGGGACTCCATCCACTTAACAACCTGCGATTCTCACTTAACAATGGCAGCTGGGAATGCCAGGATTGCAGTCGCTAAGCAAAGTGGTCATGTGATAATTCGCTTAATGACCGCATCACTTAGTGACCTAAATTCCAGTCCCAACTGTGGTTGTTAAGTGAGGACTACATGTATACCATTCCATGAAACAATTTAAATAATATAACAATATAGCGAAGAAATAATTATTAGAAACCCATCTAAACAATTAAATGTAAGAAACATTTAAAATGAAGACTAAATTAAATGGGAAGTTGATAACTGGAGATATTAGAATATAGATAAGTGTTCTTGAGCAGTAATTGGGTTATAGTGTTAGAAAACTGTTCATAGCAATATGAATATTAAAATGTTGATCAATATGTGCTTTGCTAGTAGTTGAATGCAGTGCTTTGTCACTTAACCTTAGCAATAGTAGAAAGTAATGATTCTTTTTGACAACTGCAAGCTTTCATGCTGGCTAATATGCTAGAATAAAGCTGCTTAAAGTTGTTTTAGATTGGAGTGTCATGTAAACTTTAGTAAACAAATAACTAAAAACAAAGATATTACAGCTTTTAAGACAAGAAGTATTAATGCTTCCACTTTTGTGGTTTGCACATCTCATCTGCAAGAAGCAAGGCATGTTCCATTCATTTCTGGAACTGTATAAGTTCATAAGGCAGACTAAGTTTTTTTTTCTCTCAACAGCAGACTGACAGGCTGTATTGATTTTTAATATCTTTGCAGTTTGGAAGATTTCTTTTTTGTTATTTCAAAACTCCTGGGTCAAACAGATCACATCCTAATTCATGATGGTCTGGTTGAACCTCTGCCTGTTACTTTTGAGAAAACTTAGACAAGTGGCAAGGCACCAGACAGAGGGAAAATATTGTCTTTATCTTGGAAAAAGAGAGGACCCAGAAGCCCCCAGGAAAAGTTAGGCTGATTTCAATACCTGGGAAGATTCTAGAGCAGATAACAAAGTGATCAATTTGCAAAGTACTACAAACTTATTTTCTGAACAGGTAACTTAGGAGAATGAGATCCATGAGAATATTATGGAAGTCATATAATTTGACTTCACAAAAATTTGACAAAATTTACCCATGGCATTCTAACAGCATACCTAAAAGGCAAATGCACAAGTGGCTTGCAAACCACTCAGAGTGGTCATCAATGATTCCTTATTGAATTGGAGTGAACACCAAGTGGAGTATCACAAGGTTCTGTCTAGACCTACTACCCTTAAAGATTTTCATTAATAACTTTGGTGAAGAGATGAAAGGAATGTTTATCAAATTAACAGATGCCATAAAATTGAGTGGGATAGCTCATATCCTAACCCCCCCCAAAATAAAAATGATTTTAATGGGTTGGAGAATGAGGAAAAAATAGCAAAATAAAAGTTTGCAGTGACAAGTACGAAGTTTATTTATTCTTTTTACATTATTTCTTTCTTGCCCCAGTCATAGGACTTTGGTTTACAATAAGAACAGTAAAGTTCTTCACTTAAGAAAAATAAATCAAATGCAGAACTGTAGGAGAGGCGATACTTGCCTTGGTAATAGCACTTGAGAAAGAAGTTATTGGAAATGCATTTATCACAAGCTGAAGGTGTTCCAGCAGTGTGATTGTGCTGCTAAAACACAAGTACTGTATAGTTTTAGGGTACATCAACAGAAGTCTCAAATCATATAGTTCCAATGTATTCAGAATTGGTCATTCTCTACCTCAAATATTATATCCAGTTCTGGATTTTAAGAAATATTCAGAGAAATTAGAACAGATGTAGACAAAAGCAACAAGGATAATCAGGAGATGTATAAGGATGGAAATAGATAAATTTAGTTTTCAAAAAAGACAACCTGGTAGAGGAGGGAAATGGATATGATAGAAAATTTCAAATAGCTGGACAGGTGTCATACAGAAGATCAAAACCTGTTCTCTAATGCCCCAGAGTTCATGATAGAAAAGAGTAAGTTTAATTAACAAGAAGGCAGATACCACTTGAATGTTAGAAAATATCTAAACAGTGGAAGCAGTTCAACAACATACATTGTATGTGTTGAAGCAAAATTTAGACGGTCATCTCTTAGGGATGGTTTAATTGGAATTATAGCATAAGGAGCTGATGGACTAAAGCCCACTTTCAGTTCTGCAATTCAACTTGTAGTAAACTAACTCAAGATAAAACAAATATTTTTGAATGAAAGGATCTAATTTTATGGATTTGGGCCAGAGGCTGTAAATAAAAAAGCAGGATGCAGTTTATATTACCTAATAGTAATCTGAATCCATCTAAAGAGGGTATGAAAAACTTGGAAGACTTGTATGATTGTATGTCATGCCATTAGCAGGTCTAATCCTTTATTTATAATTTCATAATTGCATTAATATTTATTGGTTGCTCAAGGTGTCACTGATGGCACGTTAACATTTTATCACAAGAGTTATTCTACAACCAAATTCAGATTACAGCAAAAACTGAGTAAAGAAGGTACTTACAGAACACTAGGATCCTGAGTTTATAGGGCAGTCAAATTTTTAAAAAAATGATATAGTCATGTTATCCTAAAAATCTACAATACATAGCTGTTCATAACAGTCAACAGGCAGAACTCTCTAC